GTGACGATTCCCTGTAACAAGGTGAAAAGGGATATACTTTTAGTATTTGAGGCGTTGAACTTCCTACTCCTGCTGAGTTCAGATATTCAATTAAAGTTATTTACTAGCGCGTGCCATTGTCTCGGGGTGCCCTCTACAAACGAAGAAATTGAAAAGTAGAAGTAAAAAAAAAACGCATTCGAGCATAACTGGTTCTCCAACCTGTGCAAAATAACGTAAATAAATAATAACGATGTAAAAGATCTGACATTCAACGGATGTGCTTTAATAACGGCAATTTTTTATGAATATTCACACTGAGACAAAAAGTGTGGTCAAAACTACTAGAGTATGGTTAAAATTTACCATGTTTTTGGCTCTATGGAAGCACCAAAAATCTCGGTAATTTTTACCTAAAAGCTTTGGTAATGATTTGGGTAAAATTAATCATTAAATATGGTTTTATATTATGTGATAAAATTTGGTTATTTTATCATGATAACTTAGAGTATGGCATAAAAACCATTTATTCGGTTAAATTTTCTTTTCAGTCTTGTACTTTTTACTAAAGGTATGGTACTACGAACTATTATTTTAAAAACCGAAATTTCGGTAAACCGTTACCATTTTAACGGAAAAATTACCATCTAGATAGTTTAAATATCGTTTATTTTGGTTTCATTAGCCAGAACAATTTTTTAAAAAATGTCATTACTATACAGTATGATAATTTTACCAGAACTTTTTTCACCCAGAACTTTATTTTATCATTACAATTGAACCTTGATTATCCAAACCTCCTACAGCCAAATATTCCTGCTAACCGAAGTCTATACTTAGAGATTTTTTTCCCCTGTGCATAATTTTTTTCTTTTCTCAATTTCAATAAGATGCTATTATAGTTCATCCATATATGATACCTTAAAAATAATAATAAAGACACTCCTTGTACAGTATGACACAACTTTGGTGCTTAAAAATTACAAAAAGCACAAAATTAAGCATTATATATTTACAAAAAAATTTTCTCCTTTACCCATATATTTCGGATGTAATTAGTAGTCTCTTGAAATTTGAAATGAAAACTTACAATAAATCAAGAAATCCAAAATTTTGTTTTTGAGACATCGCAAAAGTTTTTCACAAATAACATTTTAACAATTGTCATGCACAGTACTTAAATTTTAAAATGTATAGCTTACATGAACATTCATATGTACAGATTAATTAAATTTAGTAAATTATGATTGATGTGGACACAAAAACTAGCATTTTTTGAAGAGAAACCCATATCTAAAAAATTAAACATTGAGTACCCACAAACCAGTGCGCTTCTCAATAAGTCACAAATCTTAAGAATTTAATTCTTTTAACTAGAATTTAACCTTGTCTGTGCTTTCAGTGCACATATATTACATGTTCCCATAAACCAGTAAGCTCGCAAATTTTAAGAATTTGCTTCTGTTAACTAAAATTTATGTCAGTGTTTTCAGTATATATTACATGTTCTTAGTTCTTTTATTGTTTTCCTATCCCGTAAAGTTCAATTTATTTATTATTAGTTATCCAAATACAAACTCGAAATTTATGCTGTTTTTCACAAGCAGAAATTAAAACAGAAATTTAGAATGCATATAAACAGACATAGTTTTTGATATTTAAATTTAGGAGAAAACTTCGTACGTCTCATTCAAGTTTAACTATTTTATTTAAATAAAACAATTTAATGTTCAATCTATATGTCACAAGTCTTTTTCAAATAATTTTAAAAAAAATATTTTAATTTTATTTGTCAATTCTACATATTTAAAAACAATACAGAATTGAACTAATTCAAACATAGTTTCAATTTGGTGTTATTCCTTAGAATGAGAATTTGTTTTAAAAATGGAAAATGCATAATACTAATCTGCGCATTTATAACCGGATTAGGTTTGATCAACTAAGTTGTGATTCCTACATAATTGGTTCTAAGTAATTCTCTGCCAACGGTTGTTATAGTGGATTACGGCACCTAATAACTTTTTCTGATACAAAAACCAATAAATTTGTCAAAAACGCAAGCGATTGTGCTTAGGATTGTGCTTTCACAAGGATCTAAGATTCTTATTTTTATTATTATACTCAGATGCACGCAAAAATCTACATTATATATGGGATTAGCTATTGCTCCCATTCAAGAAAATAATAATTTTTTTATCCCCAAAAAGTTGCTTTTTCCATGTTTTTTACACATATTTACATACATATTATATTTCTTACATCAGAGCTAATGTAGAAACTGCAATATATTATCATTTATTTATACCATAAAATACATGTTTCTTTATTTGTAAAATTAATTGGAAACCCCCAAGGTTGATTGTAGAGAACATTTTTTTTTTTATCTTCTAATACTTTTTTCGGTATTTGGGTCGACATGCTCTTTCTTCACTACTTAATAATTTTTTTATTTCGCAAAATATTACATTAAAATTATGCTCATTTATTATATTCGATAATTCGTTTGAAATAACAGTAAATGAATTCTCTTAGCGTAATAAAAAAATTCGTGTAAAAATGAAAATTAACAGAACAATAATTTTTATATCTTGTGCACTTCCATTCCCTGCTGGTTTTTCAATTCATTTGTTAATAGTTTGTTGACTTTTAAAGAACACTGATTTGTTTCTCTTATTTTTAATAATCATCTGAACCAGTAGTTCCCAACCTGGGGGCTATTACCCCAAAGTGGGTGATTTCTCCCTCTATGGGGCGATCAGGGGGCGATGAATATTCTAAAGAAAATAGAAAAAATAAAAACAGCAAAGAAAAAAGTTAGCGACAGTTACGCATAATATATGAACACCGTTCGCGAAAAAATTTTCCCGATCACGGTAATTTTTTTAGTTTTACAAAAAAAGAAGAAACTATCAAAATTACATTATTCTAACACTCAAGTCTCTCTGACAGATATGAAATTTTTTTTCTCTGCTTAGCACAACCGCACTTTTCCCGCTACTTTTCTGCATTTGACTTTCAGGCATGCTGCTTGAGCGTTGTCTGCTTTTCTTTTTCAATCCAATTTTTTTCCCCGCCTTTTCGAAGACATCATCAATTTTCTTAATCATCGTTCTCAAGTTTCTGATTCGTATTCATGCTTTATCTTACCTATGCAAACATGACTTAATGACATTCACATGATTTAAACCACACATCGTCTTTCGTATTTTCACGATATTATATCCTACTTCGCGTAAAAAAAGCCAATATTATGTATGATTCGTGTTCAAGTAACTTAAAAATTATACAACGGAATTCGTATTCATGCAATTTCAAAATCAAACATCGAGATTCGTATTCATGTAATTTTAAGACTAAAAATAGAGATTCGTATTCACGTGATTAAAAAATCACAGATTGATGTTCATAATCACAAATTATAAATAAATAAATAAAATCAAGCGTTGATATTTTTAGAAAACCGTTGATAATTATTCTGCCGATGAATTCTTCCTACATACATTTTTTTCTTGCTTAAATTTCAGGCATTTTCTTAATTATTTAAAAAGTATTTTTGTACATAGCATTTTTCGATTTCTATTTTAAGGTTTTTTTTTGTTTTTTATCAAACTTATCCCTGCGGTAGGAATCAATATTGAATTTTGTAAAAATTAAATCACTTTCAAAAAAAATCTGTAATTCACAAATTTCGCTAAATAGAGATGGCGATGAAATGGCTGAAACATGTTACGAAAGTTACATGCAGAAAGATTTTCAGTTGAAATTTTGTGTTCGTAGAAAGCTCATCATTTTATCTAAGTCTGGCTAACGAATATTGAAATTGAAAACGTATGCAAAACCAATCGTTCATAGTTCAAACAAAGAATCACGAGTTAAAATAAAAGATAAGTAAATCAAAAAAATTAAAGTTTATGAACTTTCTCGTCATACTTCAGGCTGAACGGAGATCTGTCGTCCAGATCTTCTCAGAACTAGGAAATAGGTTGAATATTTGCTTGAAAACGGACCTATGACGAACATTAATGCTTTTACTGAAGGAACAAGACAGTCAATGTAAAGATGAACAATAGAGTTTTCAAATTTTAACTATCAACGTTTTCAATTTTCATGGATTCCAATTTAAAAAAATAAATATGTACTCCTGTTTTAATTATTTTTCTTCAAATATCTGTTCTTGTGGAAAAAATAAAGAAAAATTCAGTATTATCGATGCTTATTAATTACAATTCATTGTTTTATAAGGAAAAGAGAGAGAGAGAGAGAGAAGGGTGATAAATGTCAATCAACATCTAGAGGGAGGTGATAGGCCGAAAAAGGTTGCAAACCACTGATCTAAACAGTGTTTAAAAAATTAAATAAATAAACGGATTATCCTGAATAACTTTTTGCCCTAATGATCAATCAGATCAGCACGTTTTAGGGCTCGATCTTAATGGTTCGAGGAGATCACTTCATATAAGCTAATTAATTAGTGCAGCCGTTATTTTAAATTAAGAAATCAGACACAAAAACGTACTTTCTCTAAATAAACATGCACTTTTTTCAACATATTCAAATTTCTGACCCCCCAAAAATAGGGGGTAGCCACAATCTGGGAAATATGGCCCCAATAGTTTGGTCAGGAGAGCAGTTTAAAATTTGGAAACCTTAATGTTAAGTTTACTTTTTGCGTTGAATTGTAAAGTATACATTTTTTTACATTTTTTTAAAGAATGTAATTTTACATGGCAAAATACAAAATTTAAGCGAAATCGGTTGAATAACTCTTGAGAAATCGAATTTTGAAAATACGTTTTCTTTCACAAAACGCGAAAATCCGATAATTTAGATCAAAAATTATTCAGAATAGTCAGTTTTTTTTTTCACTCTGTACAGCAAATGTTTCCAAAAATAAATAACCACTAGAGACAAAAACAAAGAAGATTTCAATTTGGAATATGAGCTTTATTTAAATTTTTTTTTAATTTGTTGCTTTAGTAAATTGTACAATTGAAACTATATAATGTTTTGTATTTCAGGTTAAAGTGTGGTTCCAAAATCGTCGAACAAAGCAAAAACGACAGGTTTTGGAAGATAAAGAAAGAAGCGAAAAGACCCAACGTTTGTCTGTTAATAAAGGAAGTGAACACGAAACTAATGAAATCAATCATATATCTCTTTCCTGCAGAACTGAAAACCTCAATTTTTATGAAGATGAAGAAAGTAATTCATCTTTCACCAGTGATGAAAAGTGCGAAGAAAAAGTGCCATAGTTCACATTTTTCTTCAAAAAAGATTAAAAAGAGAGTAAAGAAAACAGAAAAATTATATTATGAGAAGATTTTTTTCACGTAGTGTGTACTTTTTCATGTGTGCATCAAACAATCACTTTTTTGTTTTATGATCGATAGATTATTGCCAATGGTTTGCATATACGTTTTTAATATATATGTACTTAACGAATAGCTTTATCCTATTTCATTTTGCATTTAAATTTATTAAATTATTGACTATTTTAATAAATTATTGAATAAGACATTCGAAAAATTTGTATTTTTGTCATTTTCTTTTAATTAAGGATGCAAACAGCAAGTTGAAAAATCCAAGCTAAATATTTTAATTTCTTTTACTTAAGAAGATTTTTAGCCTTATTAAGCAAGTTTAAGTTAAATAAGTTTTAAGTATGTCTAGGTTTAACGAGTAAAAAATAAATAAATAAATAAATAAAAAATAAGCCTTTTTTTAAAAAATCAGCAACTTAATTTTATCAAATCTGACTTCTTGACTCTTAAAACTGTCATGAAATTAAAATGCATGCCTTTTATTGACTACAAAACGTCTAAACTTTTAACCAAACACACGTAGATATTTTTCAATTAATTTGCATTTATTTGTAGAATTTCTATTTTGCCTTTAATATATTATATTTTGAAAATTATTCAAAGATTTATTTTTAAAAAAATCAATTAACCTATTTCAATGGTAGCTAACAAGAGAGGTATTCAGAATGCCTTTCGCCAATCAAATTAATATTTTGTGTCGAAATACTCTTTAGCATTGGGCTATGACAGATTTTTTTTAAAAAAAGGTATTTTGATTTCATTGTCTTGGTTTAAGGAATTTGGTTTTGTCCCGCGTAAAAGCATCTCGATTTTACATCCTGTAAAAGCACTGTCATAAGAGACATTTTGCATTACGTTTGTCTTATATTGATCGTAGTGCTAACCACTAACCCTATTTTTCTAACCCCTAGCGATACTGTGAATCGTAGTAATATTTTCGCGCATGCGTCGTGGAGCTCAAATAGAGTAATGGGAAATAGTAACGCTTTTCAAAATCTCTCTATTGACATAAAGCTCAAACAACTGATTTATACTCGCTAGTGCTCCAGTGGCAGAAATGATTAACATATTCTTTCTCCAAAGAAAAGAAAAAGCCATTGTTTAAGTGCATTAGACTTGAAGCAAAGCTATAATTTTATTTTGTAAATGCCATCTTGATGTAAAGCTGTATCTGGGCTTATCTTGCAGTGTCTTTTTTTTAATGGCTGGCACTTGGGTCTATTTCCCATTGGCCTCAGAAATGCCAGAATTGCTACTCTCTTATCATTACCCAGTGAGCACCTATGGCTAAGCCACGGCGGTGGAGTAGCGTCGCCCACGTCATACAGCAACAAACCCGTTTATAGGGCGGGTTACATTCACACAATCACACAGAAGAAAGGACATAAAACACAGAGAGAAAGAAAGAAAGAAACATCCATGCCCTGAGCGGGATTCGAACCCGCAACCATCGGTTCCGCAGTCAGGCACCGCTAACCACTCGGCCACCTGGTCAGCATCTTGCATTATCTGGGGTTTAGAAGGGACAAATAACTAAAATATTTCAAAATTTATTGACTTTTTTTAAAAATCTCTGATTTAGTGACATTTTTTCACATAAAAATTATCGAAATCAACGACTTATTCCCATTTTTTGCAAATTTTTATGAGTCCAAATTATGCACTACTAGAGTAAGTTTTTAAATATTGAAAAATTAGACCACAAACGCTTTTTATTTTCTCAAAACTATGGCTTTTCTCCATATTGACGTTTTACGCCATTTCAAAATAAACATAGAAGGCGCTGACTAAACTTGACCTAACAGTCGTAAGTAAAAGTTACTGTTGCAAACTCACATCAGTTGAGAAAATAGCATATTATTCGCAAAAACGCGTCTTTTCATATGACGATGGAGCCCCCGAAAAACTGTTTTAAGGAGTCGCTCACAACGCTAGGAGAGAGCTGGGGGTCATGAGTTCGATCCTGCTCGCCGAAAAATCAAGCTAGCTTGCATACTATGCTTGTATTGTAACGTAGCAAGGCGTACGTTAAATCTGCGTGTTTGAAAGTCCTATCTTTGGTTATGGTGTAGAAGTTTGGAGAGAGGTGTACAAGCTTAGGCGCTATCCAGGGTCAAGGTTACTTGGCATTCCTTCCATAACCGTTAAAAGATATAACCCTGAAAAACGAAGCAAGGGGCTTAGCCATGGTTGGATGGTGTGTAATAGAATTGTATTATCACTCTAAATCTGACTGTAAATAAAAATATTTATTGAAGTTAGACAAAATAAAGAGATAATTTTTCTGTTCAAAGTAATTTTGTATTAAAAATCATTAAAATTAGCAATTTATATTTAAAACAGAGTGATTAAGGAAATTTTTCGCTAAAGAGGTTAAAAAATTTAAATTGTAACGAGTAAATTTATAATTAATTAAATTCCTATTCAATAAACAAAGGAAATGGAATTTAAAATTTGAGCAATGAGGAAATTTATTTTAATGAAAATTCTTATTAATTGACAGAGTAAAATTTAATATTTATTTTCCTTAACTTTGTTTTCTGTTTATTTATGTTTTTGATATTTTAGAGTATAAAATATGGAGAAAAAAAGGTTTTAAAATGTCTAAACAAATTTTATGTCCCGTTCTTCTCTTCATCTATTCATCAGATTTTAATGAAGCCTTCGTTTCTATTTAGCTTTTTTTAACCTTACAATATATTACTGGAACCAACCTTACAAACTAACGTTTCCAGAAAAACAAAAATCTGCAGTTTGGAAATGCTTTTACACGAGCGTATTTTTTTTTTCTGTTATGATAACATGTTACAATGAATAAAAATAAGATGAAATCCATTAGATTTCTTTAATCCGAAAACTTCTATATCCAATTAATAAAGTCAAATGTGAAATATATAATTACCTTAAGCATTTTCTGTAAGATAATTAATTTAAATCAAATTTTTAATAAACATTTTTAGTGTACCCTTAGATTTGAAGTAATAGTCTATCATTAATAGTTACAAAAAGGAAAATTAATGTATTTGATTCACTTCCCAAGAATACCTCTCAGTTATTTTAAAATGTTCGTAATAAAGAATAAAAAGAAATGATGTATATCGCATCATTTACTTGTAAAATACTTATAATATACTTCATAGGAGGGCTGTTCACGTAGAGAATCGTATATAATAACGATTGTTGACAGTGTCACATCCAACAATAAGGGGAAAGTGTCTTTTGTATAGCAACTAAATATTTCTGAAGTGGCATTTTCGAAAGAAATGTATGAAAAACTATATAAGTAAAACGCCCCATGACGAGGCAATATATCAATGATAAGCGATCTGAACGTATTAACGTATAAAATGAGAGCGATAATATCATCTCTATCCATATAGATAGAATTTATTGAGCTGTCTCACCTTCTCCCAACTATATTATGTTTCCTCGCACTGCAGATATTATGAAAAAAAAATAATAATAACGTTAAACGCACCTTTAAAAAATAATAATAAAAAAGCAACTTTATACTGCACATAATGGGAAGTAATAGAGTTGCTTCTCTATAGTGTAGAATAAAATGCAGTGTAAAATCTTTTGTGTACGTGAAAGGGTCTTTTTAAATAAGTACAAACATATTACTAAAATATAAACATGTGAGACTTGAATTGAATATTGCAGGAGGGACTCAAGCTGGTTTGATGTGGATAGAGAAGCGTTTAAAGATGATCAATTCCAGGCCAATGTTACATTTGTTCTTTTATTTGTTTTTTTAATTTTGACTTCTATAAAAATATTTATCAACGCAAATATTTATTAAAAATATTTATCACCATGATTTGAGGACAAATTAGTCGAAAAATGCAATGGAAAATATTAATTTTTGCGCGCAACAATGATTTTTTTTTTTTTTTTTTTTTTTTTTTTTTTTTTTTTTTTTNTTTTTTAATGATTATTGCTAATATAAGTTGTGGAATCATCTTCATCAAACTAGATTTCATTTCTAAACAGTATAAAAATTTTAAAAAAATATGATGTTTTACATAGGTTGATGAATAAGTACATGATTTTTAAAATTTGTTTATTTTTTGCTGAAATAATTTTCTGACGACTATGAAGTTTTCGTCAGTTACTTCATTGTAAGACAAAATTATCTTGTTCAAGAAAACAAAACAAAAAAAGCATGCACTTTTTTTTTTTCCTCTTTGATGTTTTACTGCAAATAAAAACACAAAGATCAAATTCTGAATTCGAAGACAATTGAAAACACATATTAAGGTTTAAAAGGATACTAAAGATTATCTGTCTTCAAGGAGTTTTAAAATTTCTGAGGACAATTAATGAAAATCGAGGATTGTCCTAAAGATCTGAGAACGTTTAATCTATTTACTTCTACGTGGAAATTCATTGCGAACTAAAGATTTCATTGGGCAAGTAATCATATAGCAAATCACACTACAACTACATTTGTAGTATTTTCTGAAAAAATGGAAAAATTTATTTGTTTATCGAGATGTTTGTATAATATATATATATATATATATGGGTCATTCTCACGAAAACTGTCATTTTCATGTCCC